AAAGGACGTAGGATGATCGATATGACCACAAACAATACGATAGTAAATTGTACTATTTACGATGGTGTAAGATGGTAGTAACACATAATGCAATACATAGTCACTATGCTGAGCGACCAATGAGTTTGTGCAGAGGACGCAACAACAACGACGACGACGCATGCATAGCTATATATGTCGGTGACGTAACATCATTGATGTTGCGCTGTATCATGTGAATGATGGTAATCCTGAATCGCTTCGCTCCGCCTCCTGTCTACATAGATCCTGGTCACTGCCTTCTCAACTATCGATCCCTCTATCTCGTCCTCTTGACAGTTGTTATTAGTATTTCACCGTATTACCTGCATCACAATACGACGGTGGAATACTATTGTTGTTAATATTGAATATGTCTAAATCTGCTGCTGTTGTTGTTCCTCAACTTCCTTCTACTACCACTCCTCCTCCAACTACTCCTGATGTCGTCGACAATTCGACAACAGAGGCTCCGCACTCCCATAGAGTAGTTCCTAAGGTAATAATACTTGATGTTAATATAAGACATGATGATCGTAGTAGGTATCTGGTGGTCCTATATTACCCATATTTGGTCGTATTATAATACTAGCTATTGTGTTGTTTTCTAGCACTTTCATAGCTGCTACATGGTACTATTAACACAACTTAATCATGACATCATCATAGACATCATCTTTAGGCGTACACATGGTATACATTGGTTATATGATAGTAGTATGGATGGTAGTGTTGGTGGTGTAATACCTTTGTATAGTTGTCCACCATTAGAGGATACATTTAATGTTATTGGTATTGATGCTATGAGTAATACACCTACATGTCGTGTAGATATAGCATATAATTATGAATCTGCATGGAATCTACAGAAGGCTGGTCTTACTGTACCTTATGGTACTAAACCACAATATGCATTGGAAAGGTGTATATTACCACATGAGGATAAGGACTATATACATTGTTATACAGCTTCACCATGTAGTTATAGTTGTCGTACATCTGATACTAATGAGGTATGTCCTGATCCTTCTACTATTAATAAGGATGAGACTGTTATGATGCAGAATGAACAATGTGATATATGGCTAGCAGGTGGTGTATGGTCAGATAGACTCGATTGTTATAAACTACAGTTGAATCAATATTGTGGTTATACGTATGATTATACTCCTGGGGATATTATTGCTATTAGAGGGCTTATCTTTGCTGATGCTTTTATAGTTCTATTCTGGTTATGTGCTGAATTCGTATTACGTAAAGTGGATAAAGGTCTTAAAAGGGAACAAGCTGAAGGGTCAGCAAGAATGGAGATAGAGTTACCATCAAAAAGGCATCTATTACGTCAACAGGTTATGGCTAGATGGTCTGCTGAGGCTGAGAGAAATTATTATTCTCCTTTTTCATTCAGTGGTGTGACTAGTACTACTATTACTAGTAGTAGTAGTGATGATGATGATTCGTTGTATAGTCAACAACAACAACAACAAGGAGAGTTGATGATGAACATGGTAGATGGTGGATCGATATCGACCAATAGTAGAGGAGGGAGTGGTATGATGATGAATAAAAAGAAGAAGAAAAATAAGAGTCGATATTATTCTCGTGATCCTGGTAAGAGATTCCAAAGTTCTACATGGTTGAAGAATGTATCCCGATACAAGGAACTGAGCTCAACGAAGAAGCACAGGTTCAATTCCCGGGCCTGGACACGTAATAATAAATACTATCTCTATTGTTGTTGTTGTAGTAGTAGTAATAGCTGGTTACTATTCCCTTCCCCCACTTAGGTACAATAACACTTGATGCATTCTTCTATATCCTTATCGTATTCTCTCAATGGTTTATCATATTATATTCTCCTGGTCAGAAGACAGTACATGATACCTATACAGATGCATTAGTAGCAGTAGTAGAGATATGGAATGCTGCATCATTCCTCGAATGGTTAATATTTATCGATGTTTTATTGGATTTCTGTCTATTCTTATGTGCTGTATTTGTCGTTAAATGGCCTACTAAACCAGTGTATGCTGAGCATGTTAAGGACTCATTACATCATCTAACGGTAATAATAATACTAGTAGTAGAATTAATGTTAAATTGGTGTTGTATATGTAGGTACATTGTCATGATAATAGGGAAGATGATGCATTATTATCACCAACCTCTTCCTCCTCTTCAGCAGTTATTGATGATGATGATATGTCATCATTATCGAGTGTTGATACTGGTTCGGTTAAGTTTATAATGGATCAGACTATGACTCATGATGTATGCCTAATGATAGCATGTCATCAATCCGTTATGACAGAGGAGCGGTATGAGACATTTACTGCTACACTACGATCGGCATTACAAGTATTCCCTCCTAGTCATATATTTGTATGTGATAATGGTAGGAGTTATGCACCCTTTGATGATACTCAATGGGCTGCACAACAGGTAATAATAATAATTCTATGGTGTGTAGACGACGATGATGACGATGATGATCTACAATAACAGGTACATCCTGATATTAATTATTTATATGTACCTGAGGGTAATAAGACATTTGCCTTTTATTGGTGTAATAAATATTGGATACCATTCCTTACTCGACAAGGTCGTGTAAGAGAGTTTCGGTAAGTAGCACCATACCAGGATACTACTCTTATATATCGTCGTCGTCGTCTTATATTTAGGTATGCTGTTATTATTGATGATGATGTACCTCTACCACCAGATCTACATATACCACATCAACTATTGGATCAGAATCCTCATATTAAGGCTGTGCATTTCCCTATTACTGCTACTACACCTGATGGTTGTCCTACTAATCAGCTTGTAGAATGCCAAGATATTGAGTACAAGCTGGCTGGTCTCCATAAACTATTCCAATCTACACTCAGCAGCTCATTAAGTTGTCATGGTGCAGTAGCCTTATGGGATAGGGAAACACTTGATGAGATATTCTATGAGCATGATACTGTATTCAATGGTGAGGATATGTATATGGGTCTATCATTATTGAGGCGTCGAGATAGTAGTCGTATTTACTCTTGTGCTGCTGATGTTGTACCAACCTATGCACCTGATAATTGGGGTATGCTATTTAGACAACGGGTTAAGTCTTGGGATGTGACATCTCATAAGAAGAGTTTTACCTATATATGGGAGATTATTAATCCTAGAGGTTGGTGTCATGGGCCTAGCTGGGTATTAAAGCCATACTTCATACAAGAGTTATTAACTATCATCCTAGATTGGTTGAGAGTATTCTTATTAGCTGGTCTATTAGTACGTGATTGGGTATCATTAATATTGATGTCAGGAGTATTCACATTATTACTTTACATAATGGTACTCTTATTTGAATATATAGTATTAAGGGATAGGAAGGATCTACGCTCATCAGCATTGACTATATTCTTATTCCCTTGGTATAGGTTATCAGCTTTATTCTTTAGAATGGGTGCTTTATGCCATAATATATTCTCATATTCCAAGGATAGGAAGGGTATTAAGATAGCAATACGTGAAGATGAGATTAGAGATATACCACCATGCCCACCATCACCAGATGTTGATTGGTTTACGGTATGGACTAATGATAATAATAATAACAACAGCAGCAGCAGCAGCCAGCAATGATAAGTAACTGAGTACCAGCCTAGGTTCCGGCATACTCTCATCCTTATGATGATTATTATTACGATAATCATCATCATGTTCATCATTACTATTGTTGTTATTGTTGTTTTTCTCCTCTTTGTATGATAGTATACACTTTGTACACTGTTTAACCATCTTCAAAGTAAGTTAGTTATCCTTCATAATTATTCATGTTCCTACTACTACTACCACTTGCTACTACTATCATCATCATCATCCCTTAAAATGAGCAGCAATACCATCAATACTCGTGTTTCTACCACTCTCAGTGTTGTTGTTGAATTACACTTATTATTATCATTGGTAGTAGTTGCATTTGTATCTTATTCTCTATCTACCCACGGATTAATCTCCCTAACCTTTATTATTAACAACAACAACACTACAGCAACGAGAGCATTATGGTTACTACTACTACTATTACCAAGCAAACCCCCCAAGTTGTTCTTTCTTCCCCGCCGCCTGCTATCAGTACTGATACTCCGTCCTCTTCCTCCTCAATTGAGGCCCCCGAACCACACTATGTGGTGCCTAAGGTGATGATAATAACATTACTATTACTATTACTGTTGTCATCAGGTTAAGGCACCATCGGTATGCCCTATATTTGGCAGGCTAACGTTCCTAACAGTAGTGCTAGTCTGTTGTCTAATAGTAGCTGCAATATGGTAAGTACTCCTTATCATTATCCTCTTGTTATTATATGTTATCATGTTTATTAGGTTTTGTCATGGTTATAGTTGGGTATATGATAAGACTACTAAGATATGGCCTATATATGAATGTCCTTCATTACAGTCATCTTTCCATTTCAAGGAGAAGGATCTATGGGGTCCAACATGTTCTATGTCTATAAAGTATGATTTCCTATTAGCTGATCGTATGAAGAGGAATGGTATTACAGTACCATATGGTACCCCACCAGAAGAGGCATTAGAACGTTGTATCCTACCACATGATGATGAAGGATATATTACATGTTTCTCAGTGAATTCATGTGATTATATGTGTCGTGAAGCTGATACTAATGGTAGATGTCCAGCTGGTAAGACATTAAATAAGGATAAGACTGATATGGATAATAATGTCCAATGCAATGTATGGTTAGCTGCTCAAACTTTTACTGATCAATTAGCATGTTATAAATTAGAGGTTGCTGCTTATTGTGGTAGAACATTTAAAGTAACACCCTCTAATATACTTGCTGTACGTGGGCTTATTGTGGCTACTGTGGTGATGTTGGTATTCTGGATAATAGCTGAGTTTGTTCTAAGAAGTGTTGACAAGGGTTTACGTCAAGAACAAGCAGAAGGTATGGCTAGAATGGGTGTTGAACTACCAGCTAAAAGAACATTCTTACGACAACAAATACTTCATAGATGGGCTACTGAGGCACAATTTAATTATGCACATGCATCACAAGCTGGTTCGGTATGGGGTAATGCTACTACTCCTGCTAATCAAACTACAACAACAACACCATTTTATGGTGGTAGTTATAATGGAGATACCAACAGCAGCAACAGTTCAGTGAGTATGGTATGGTTA